CAAATCAAAAGCTTTAATTAATAATTATAATACATAATTTTTATATGTTCAAATATTTAAGATTTAAAATTTTGAAGGTAGAACGTTTAAAATATTCTTTTTCTATTTAAATGATTAAAAAAAATCTTAATATTTTAAAATGTACATTATTCGTACCAAGAAAATGAAATTTCTGTAAAATCCAGTACAATGCAGTTCCTAGTGTCGCAGAAGTCAAACCTGCTTTCGAATAGAACAAGTAGACAAAGACAACTACCAGTTGAAGTCATGGACGACAATTACCACGAGGGTGATTCGGTACTATCGAAAATTAACTGCGCTGACTCGGACCAATGTGATCCCCTGGCAATAGTACATTATTGTGCTAGGCTCTAGCGCACACATAGTTAGTACTAATACATTAAAGTCTGCATCGCAGATCTCTATTAATAGAATCGTAATTACCATAACGATTTTCAATCAATGAATTAAATTATAAGTATTATCCTTGTAATTTTATTAAAATTTCATCAATGACAAATATACGTGTCATAACAACAGATATCGTACATTTTATATGCAAATTTAAAATTTTTGCAAAATGACAGAAATATTACAAACAGAGATATATACTGAAATCGTAAAAATTTGTTGCAAGTTATTTATTCTATGTAAAATATTTACTGTCTCTCTGTTTCGACATTATCATGAATTACATTAAAATAAGATGGAAAGAATACAAAAGCAAACATTTTAATCGCACGTAGCATTATTTGCTGTAACTGTACTGATATTTTTTAAATGAATATATTTGTTTGCACAAAGTGCAAAAACACATTATTGTAAAAAACAAAGAAGTAGAATGTATTTAATTGAAGGCGTATGATGTTATGTTGTGAGATATATCAGCGTTCATTGCGTTTTATGTAATTCGCGCGAATATATATGTTTTGCATATTTCAGGCAATGTCAATTTCCTGAATCAATATAGGCATTGCAACATACCAAGATATTCCAGGTAACAAAAGCAATTTGGACTATTCCCCGTGGCAAATGAGGCGCCTCTGATTAACACACATTGGCTCAATTACACGGGTTAGCCGAGGGAACACGAAATTGCCTGCTATTAACGGTGGCGCAAGGGTGGATAGACATACGAGATATATCAGCTGGATAACACGACGATACGTTGAAAGCCATAGAACGTAATGGGAAACTGCGGAACAAAATGTTTCACTATTTTCTTCCTTTGCGCTAATTTAAGCCCACCAATGCAGTTCACACGCGCATTTCGTTCGCCGAGGCAAACCGCCGAATTAATAGCCAAAGTGGCATCCTGTGTAACGAGCTCAGCGAGGTACTTCAAATTATAAACGTCGATTATAAAAAGCAAAAAAACTAACTTAATAACGGTTAATTCCCAAAAAGAATCTTTCAACGATAAAAAATACTTCACTCATTACAACTTAAAGTTTACTCGTATTATAAATAAGATACCGCGCTTTTGGAACATCAAAATAATAGTTTTAAATTTTTTATACTTTATATATTTTAGAAAAAAGAATTACAATTCTCAAGAAGTTGTTTCATGAATTGTTTCTTGAGAAAATGTTAAAGACTTTTTAAGCGGATTATGCAAATGTCACAATAAAATACAGAACGATTCGAATTAGTCATAATCATTAGCACTTAATTTTCTCAAAACTGTCGAGTATAATGAATAAATAAAAAAGATATAATAAACAGTATCATAACGAAGAAAAAAAAAGATATTATCGTACAAATATATACGATAATATCTATTTTTTTACCTAAAAGACAAGATTCTCTCTTATAAACTTGTAAAAATTATTATATGACTTACTCTTGCTACCAGACCTCGTTCTTTCTCTCGCTCCTCTCAAGCACTAAAACAATAATAAAGTTTTTATTACAAAAATGCAAACTAATCAAACTATAACTAATAAGTCTCAGATTCATTTACAATATTTTTGCTCAGAAACAAAATTAATCTTCAGACATAATATCATTTAACAAATAGATTTTGAAAGTTAATTTGACTTTAGTTATGTCATATTTGCAATTCGATTAAGATACTCAAAGTTTGTCTTAAAATATAGTTTACACACACACATTTTTTCTTTTGTTAGTAATATAGATGTCGACCGAATTGACAAATTCTCTCGTGAGAATTAGGATTCAATAGTATTTTCAATTTAAAATACTTTCTTATATAAACAGAATTAATTGTTAATTTAGAAGATGCTAATAAATTTACAATTACAAAGCCCAAAATATTTGCAGAAAGTAACGACTTATTTATTAAAATTAATTTGAAATGGAATAGAATATTCAACATAATGACGTTTTTCGAAACAGATTGAGATATTTCCTACGACTTACATTAGTAGAGGAGAAATCGAAACGACAGAGAATGTGAATTCTGGATTATAATTTCACGATATTTATAGATGATAATACTCTTCTTAATGGCATTGGGTTTAAATATATACTCCATAGAGTGTTTAAAAAAACCATTTAGCATTTATATGGTGAATAGTGCATAGTGTACTATTTATCACATAAATGTTGAATGGTTTTTTTGAACATCCTATATTTAAAATCAATATAGTTATATTCAAAGTCGCTATAATTGTCTCATATAAATATTATATGAGACGCTTTAAATTTCTATGCTAATGTAGTTCGGCTATTACTATTTTGAGATTGATGGTGTGGAATAATATGAATCACTGAATCGAGTAACAAGAAGCAGCATTATATTAATTATGTGTTAATAATTAGTTTGAAATACAAAGAACAGAATATTCAGTATATAGTTGTTTCATTTGTGATAACGTGAGACTAGTTGGTATATGATTTTGATATTTGTTTTAGTAACGTTCGCTGCGCATTGTCGTATCGCAAACACTGTTTTATATATATATATATATATATATATATAGGTATAACTTAAATATAATACATATCAGTAGTCGCAAAGCCACTATGTATTGTCATTCGCATGACGAGATTCATGTCGACGGAAAAGCCACTCTGTTGCTCTACCGTTACATAATTATTTCTTCAAAACGCGATTATTTTCTGCAAGCAGCTAACTACTATCAACTCGCATTTAATTAACTCCCGCGATTAACGACAGTGTAAATATATCGGAAATTTATCGAAATACTTCACGTGATTTATTTATTTCCAGTAACGATAGGAGATGAGAATTATATATTTTATATATACGTATATATACATATATT